AATCAAGAATTTGTCGGAGTTAATAAACCAAGCCACGGCGATCAATCATAGCAAGTTTTTTTTTTTTTTTTTTTTGAACAGCAAGATGATATATATTGATAACCGGAGTACAAGGCTACCCAAACCCTTAAAACATCAATATTAGAGAGGCATAAACTTACAAGAGTAGACTAACCCTGCCCAATAAACCAAGCCACGGCGATCAATCATAGCAGGTTGTTTCTACCAATGGAAGATGCAAGCAATTCAACTGCAAACATTGTGAAGATTGCGAGGATGGTTGTGAAGTTTCATCCGCTTTTGACAGTAACGAATCTTATCTTCAAGATGATACTAGTGCAGGATTGGATATGCAAAACTCTCAAGGTGTATTGGCAATCCACAATGAGAGCTCTGCGGGATCCCGTTGCTGAGAAGATGAAGAAACTATCTGAAGCTCTCAAGATGCATCTCGCCAAAGAAGCGACGATGGGTCAACCAATGGCCAAACTGATCGGCAAGCATGCCTTGTTCTCCGCAACATTTCTACTACTAGATACAAAGTTATGTTCAAAATATGATAGAAGAGGGATTATAATGCAGTTCTTGTTGTTTATTTTTCTCGACCTGCTAACATATCCAAAGCGTTGGAGTCAGCTCGGGATCTTTCGTGGATGGTGGGGTTGCACAGCAAATTCAATATCAAACTTCATCTGCTTCATTCTAGCACTTTTTTTTGGAAATTTCTATGAGAATTCCTTAAGAAGCCTGAGCGTTGCGTTCTGCATTACACTTGGTTTCCTCTGTCTACTAATTGTATTACGTTTGCAGACCGACCTCGGGTTCTTCGGCTTCATCATGGGAGTCATTGGATCAGTTACTTACAACTGCTTTGGCCTCAAGTTTCCTACTTGGGTAATTTCCTGCATCTGCTTTGTGTTGTTTAGTTTCAAAAACTGGTTAGATAAGAACTGGCTGGAGTTGGAAGAAGATGATCATAAGCTACTGCTATCATCTACAAATACGCTAGGAAGTACCGGTATTACTTTGACTTTGCCAGCTGCCTCGGTTCTATGCGTTTTTTGGAGCATCTTCTTGTGGGCTGTTCGCCAACAACGGCTCCTGCCTGAATATAAAGATTGGTTAATCATGGTAATCTCTCTTGTGATTTGGTGGGTACGTTTCTTTATCTTCTTTCTCAAAAATCAGTCACTGCAGTCCCCTACAAATATAAAAGAAAGCATCGGCATGATTTCCACCTTGCCAACGGCCACCTTATACTCTTCATACAGCATCTTCATGACGGCTAACGGCAAACCGCGTCTGTCCAACGACTATAAAGACTGGATGGGTTTGCTGACATCTTTTTTGCTTTGGTGGGTGCGGTTCCGTAGGTTCTTCCCCAAAGCCTCTACAAATAGGAGAGGAAGGATAATCAGCAAGATTTTGAAGGTTTTAAAGGTGCCATTGTATGCTCCATACGGTTTATCAAAGACAGCTGATGGCAAACTCTGCGTGACTGGATATAAAGACTGGTCAAGTACGGTAGTCTGTTGTGTAATTTGGTTATTTCGTATAATATGTCTTTCCTTTCCCAAAGATCAGTCACAACCTTCCTTGATTGAACTTAAAACCATTCAGGCGTTGGCATTGGTGGATTTTTTCACATGTTTGGATGTCTTATATTTTCGGGCCAAAAAAGAAAAGGATGCCGGAACAGCACCTGAAAGAATGAAAATCTTGCGTCTTGAGCACTCAGGATAGAAATTTTTATTCCTAGCCGTTCTCTTTTTCAGGTGTTCCCACTTTCCTTTCTAGTCATCTGTAGTTTGGATTTAGGATGCAATAGAAGTGGTTCACATTCATATGGTTCCCCTTTTTGACCAGCGGTTCACGTTGATATGGTACGTATAACTTGAAAGATGGAAATGCGAGATTAATTATCAGGTTAGATTAGGTTAGGTTTGGTAGCCGTAATATTTTATTACAAGTAATTCTCTCTTCTGTTGTGTAATCATGGCATGCCATTAAATTTGAAGCTCCTTGACGTTGCATTATCTCCAATTCCTCAGCATCTCCTTGACTTACCAGTGGCTGCTATCATCAACAATTCAGAATGGGATTTAGAGCAATTGATAGGACTTCTCCCAGACCACATACTTCAAACTATTGCAGCTATCCCTCTACTTATTGCAGGCCATCTTGAAGACTCTATCTACTGGTATAATTCATCCCAAGGTGACTTTTCAGTAAAATCTGCCGTCCAACTCCTCCAGCAATCATGCTTACCTAACATCCCTGAAGTAGGAGAATGGGCATGGATATGGCAATTATGTTGCCCAGAACAAGTTAAGCTTTTTGTGTGGTTATTGAACAAGGAAAGAATTCTTACGAACTCAGTCCGTTTTGATAGACATATGGCTCCTACTCCAGTCTGCCCTCGCTGCGAGCAGTCACCTGAAACCCCATTGCATCTCCTACGAGATTGCTACTACTCACGGCTTGTTTGGGATGCTACTAACTCTCTACTTGGAGATTTCTTCCAGCTTGATTTTGTCCCTTGGTTGAGGAAAAATTCTTCTAAATCAAGAATGGGACCTTGTGCTTCTGATTCATGGTCGAGTATTTTCCTTGCGACCATCTGGTATTTATGGAAAAGTAGGAACAAACTGATATTTGAGGAGCAAAGGGTCTCACCATTAGCTATCGTCCAGCAAGCTAGCAAATTAGCATGGGAAATCAAACTGGCATTTGCGGCACAGGCAACCCTCATCTCAAAAGCCCCTAGATGGATCAGTTGGAGCCCCCTTCCCCAAAACTTCTTTAAACTTAATACCGATGGATCACATGACCATAGCTTGGGCAAGGCAATTGCAGGAGGGCTTCTTCGCGATCACCATGGGCACTGGTATCATGGTTTTGCCACAAATGTGGGTATCACTACAAGCTTCTTGGCTGAGTTATGGGGATGTAGAGAAGGCCTTAAGCTTGCTATTTCCCTTGGGGTGCAGCAACTAATTTTGGAAATGGATTCCTTACTAGCAGTTCAACAAATCCAATCCTGGAAGGTGTCTGCAGGTGCAGCGTCAGTTCTTCTCAATGATATCTGCTTGCTACTTGACTCCTTTAGCTCTTGCTTGGTGCAGCACACTCTAAGGGAAGGTAACTATGCTGCTAATTTTATGGCGTCTATTGGGCATACAGTCGATTTGGGTACAACCCTCTTTCCAACACCCCCAATGGGTATTAGCACGATCCTGCAAAGTGATTGTACTGGGGCCATGTCCCTTAGATATTAAGCTTCAATAGCCTCTTATGTACCAAAAAAAAAAATCATGGCATGCCATTAAGGCAATAAATTCTTTTTATATTAGGTGGTCGTACATAATATTATATGTACTTTTTTTGTTATATTTTTTAAATAAGTTTGCAACTAAGGTGAAATTTATGCAAGAGAGGGGTTGATTTGCAAGGTGGGGATGTTGGTTGTGGAGTATGTAATGAGGATGTGGAGTAGCTTTATCATATTTTTTGTGAGTGCAAAGGGTTATGGTTAGTGTGGATGAAGGTTTTGAGGTGATGGGGTTTGTAAAGTGTACTGCCTAATGATATATTTGGGTTGGCGAAGTCTATAGTACAGGGCATTGGTGGGGGAAGTATGAAGGATTTAGGAGCTTTTTTTTTTTTTTGGTTGTGGTTTGGTTTATTTGGCATTGGAGGAATATAAAGGTGTTTGGAACAGCTTTGATATTTGAGGAGTTGTTGTTGGAATCTATTCAAATTAAATCTTTTTGTTGGCTAAAAAATAAAAAGATTAGTTGTGTGTTCTTTTATCAAGATTGGATTTCAAAGCCTATGAATTATAATGCGACCATTGTGTAATATGTAAAAATTTGAAATGTTACAAGGTGCTGAAAGAGGCATAGGATGCTTTCATTCCATTTAGTTTTCTGGTCTATTTTGAGCTATATTGTATTGATTTAATTATGTAAGTAATGTCTGATTTGGAACTTTAGTTTCTAGGATTGTTTTTTCTTTGGGAGTAGTCCTTATACTCCTTAATAATTAATTCTCATTTTACTTTGCTGAAAAAAAACAAAAAAGTAGACTTTAAGATGCACTTTATGTAGTTTCGTCTATTTAAATTTGACTAGATGTTGAACCTGACTCTTCGGGTCAAGCGGCTCTAGCAACACTTGTAAGGTTCATGTTCCCCTCCTCCAGGCAACAGTTCGAGCTGGCCCATGACAAAATGTTCAAAAAAAAAAAATTTGACTAGATGTTTTCTAATTATAAAATTTTTTAATAATTAATTGAAAATATATATTAAATTATTATTTTTGATAATTTCTAATTTTAAATATAATAATCTATATAAAAAGGAGTTTAAATAATAAGTATAAAAGAAGATTTAAATACATAACTTTAATCTTTTTAAATTTAAAAAATAAGACATTATGAGAAAAAATGGTACAATTATATGTTAGTTCCACACATTCACGAAGCGGACATATGTTGTGTACGAATTAGACATGGATCCTACCTCATTTTTTAAAGATTTTTATGTTTTTAAATGTTTATAATTATAAGATCTTTTTTATTTTATATATATATAAGGCTTTTCAACTTTGAGCTTTACTTGTTAATACAAAATATAAAAAAACAATAGGACATGCTAAATGAGGAACCAGGATTTCTCATTACTCTTTTTACCAACTGCAAAATTAAATGGTACAAAACTAGTTTCTACATATATACATAAATATGTTAAAATGGCCAGTATCCTACTCTATTAATAGAAACTAGTTTCTGGAACATAACTATTCTGTGGAGACCAAAACAGCTTTCCCTTATAAGCCGAATCCACATTTCAAACAAAAGCAAACGAGCCTTTTACACAATTTTACAACTCGGCAAACAACATGGTTTCGGCAAAAATCCACGCTAACTTCAAGCCATATATATATCTTTTTGATTGGTAAAGAACTGTTAGGATTATATAAGTTAATTTTAGGTGTTCGATAATTGTAGATGGGGGCATTGAGCTAATTTGTTAAATTAGTAAGAATTGACTTGTACTGATAAAAGAAGAAGAAGTAAGAATCGACTTGGAAGAAGTGACATTTGGTTTGGAACTTTGGATGGATATTTGGGTTTATAAGGTAGTACCATGGCGTTATATTTACTCCTTCAATTCGAATTTGTGGATTCATCTTTTATGGTAAATAACGTGAATATCGGTGAAAGAATGTAATTTGCTTTTCCATGATACTATGATTATAATATTAATTACACAAAATTGTAAGTATATGATTAAAACATGTTATTAAATAAATAATATGATATAATATTTATAGTAGATCTCTAAATAAAAATAATTAATTATATTATTATATATTATATTGTAAATTTACAACATATGACATTATAACTATATCATTTTTATTTGTTTCTTTCACTTAAAAATATTACTCCTTTTGTTCAAACTAAACTAATACTTTTTAAAATAAACATGTTTAATATATATTGCAATTAGCTTTTTTTTTTTTTAAATAAATGTAAAATAGTGATAAGGCCTTTAAATAACATATCTCTAATAAAAAAGTAAGGCAATTAAAATTAGAAAAAAAAAATATTTCCTCTTGTTCCACCCTTATATTTTTTATTGTTATAAAATGTTAGTAATGAAACCTCGAAAATTTTAAGCAAAACTTCTTTTCTTCATTGGCCGGATCTAGAAAGAGGCAAATTGCCAAGATATGCATATAGATTATATGAACATGGATAATTTCTAAGAAAATGAGTGCTCCATCAACTAGTTTAATATATCTGTTAATATTTATCAATTTAATCATTAAAATTT